TACTTCCGAGACACGCACATCCTCAAGGCGAAGAGCCAGGTGCGGCGGGCCATGGGCGGGGGGCACCGGGTCCAGGCGGGGGCGGCCACAGGCGCTGCCGGAGCGTGCGTGAAAGGGGCCCGAAGGCGCAATCGGGATATTTTCATGCAATATATAAAAAATCGAATTAATGCCAAAACTCCATGATGGACAACCATCTAAATTCCAAGGAAAGACAGAATCCAACCCTGTATCACACCGCCTGCCTGCCTGGCTGACCTGGCCCTAGTCTCTGCCCTGATGGGGTGGACTGGGGAGGGGAGGCAGATGCGGACAGTGGGCAGCTCTCCAGGTGGGCCATGTCTGATGACTGCCCAGGCTGCCAGTGAGACTCAGCCTCCAGGTCTCTCCACCCGGCATCCCCACCAGAACATCCACCCCCCCACCCAGGTCTGAATCATCCCCTCTCCCCTCCCCCAACCTGAGTGCCTGGGGGCAATAGGAGAATATGCCGGGAGGTGAGAGATTGGGATCAAGGGTCAAGACCCCTGACCTGCCCCTAACCCATGTCCCCAGCTGGTGGCCGGCATCAAGTACTTCCTGACGGTGGAGATGGGGAGCACAAACTGCCGCAAGACCAGGGTCGCTGGAGACCACCTCGACCTTACCACCTGCCCCCTGGCGGCGGAGGCGCAGCAGGAGGTAACAGCGGGGCTCCTCCAGCCCCAGCCCTCCCCAGAGCCTCAGGCCCTCACGTTGTCCAGCCTGAACTGGTTTGGCTGAACACGCAGCTATCTAGATGTCTGGCTGAACCTGTTGGCCTCCTGGATGAGTCAGCCTCCAGGCCAAGATGGGGTGCAGAAAGGAGGCTGGGGCTTCCCTCAGGAATGGGGAAGTTGGCTACCAAAATCTGGAGTCTAGCCCTGGCCATGTAGTTTGACATCCCTTGGGCCAGTAACTGCCCCTCTCTGCCCCGGAGCAGCATGGCAGGCAGAGGGCTGGCTGCTGGGAGAAGGTAGATGGAGGCTGGGCTTACCCCTCCTTCTCCCCCGTATTCTCTCTACAGAAGCTGCGCTGTGACTTTGAGGTCCTTGTGGTTCCCTGGCAGAACTCCTCTCAGCTCCTAAAGCACAACTGTGTGCAGATGTGATAATTGCCCGAGGGTGAATGCTGTTGGGTTTGGAGCCACGGTGGAGGGCACTTCGGGTCCACGGGTCACAACTGTCACAATAAATGGCCAGTGCCGCGTCTTGCATTGGTTTCTTCTAAGTGCTTCGCTTCTCCCCGCAGCCCCCACTCCTACTTCTGGCAGCTCCCAGCTCCCCAGCCCGAGCTGAGAGGTTACCCTGCCACCTGGCAGCAGAGCTGCTGGTGTCCCAGTCCAGACAGTGCTGAAGGTGCAGGGCTGGGCCTCCAAATGTGGAGCCCCCTAAACACCTCAGCATCACAGGAATAGAGGAGCAAACCTCAGAGCCACACACACAGCCAGAGACTCCCAGTACTCTCAGAGGTAAGGGGTGGGGGCAGACTCACAGAGAAGGGGTGTTGCCCTGAACAGGGCCGGCTGCCTGGGAGCACTCTGAGGAGTCGTCTGTGCTCTGCTCCCACATAGACCCAGGAGGGACTCATGGGTGGCATGTGGGGCTTCAGCCAGGCGGTGTCCTCACTCAGGACACTGAGCTTCCAGCCTATAAAGATTCCTCCACCTGCATGTGGCCCAGTGATGGCAGAACCCCTGCAGGCCAAGAGACCATGAGGGCCAGGACAGTGCCTCTCAAGTCCACGCTGTGGGCTCCACACCACAAAGATGCCTCTCATGCCGTGCCCTGGGCAAGGCGCCTGGATGGGGCTGGACTGGGAGTCCTAGAGGGGCAGAGCTCGTTACCACCCACAGGAGGGATGAGGGGACAGATTCAACCTAACGTCATTTAAAGAAAACAGCATTGCAGGCGGGGTGCGGTGGCTCACGCCTGTAATCCCAGCACTTTGGGAGGCCAAGGCAGGTAGATCACGAGATCAGGAGTTCAAGACCAGCCTGGCCAAGATAGTGAAACCCCAACTCTAAAAAAAAAAAAAAAAGAAAGAAAGAAAGAAAGAAAACAGCATTGTGGCCAGGTGTGGTGACTCACGCCTGTAATCCCACCACTCTGGGAGGCTGAGGCGGGCGGATCACGTGAGGTTTGAGACCAGCCTGGCCAACATGGCAAAACCCCATCTCGACTAAAAATGCAAAAATTATCTGGGTGCGGTGGTGGGCGCCTGTAATCCCAGCTACTCAGGAGCCTGAGGTAGGGGAATCACTTGAACCCGGGAGGCAGAGGCTGTGGTGAGCTGAGATTGCGCCACTGCACTCCAGCCTGGGAGACAGAGCAAGACTCCATCTCAAGAAGGAGGAGGAGGAGGAAGAAGAGAAGGAGGAAGAGGAAGAGGGGAGAAAAGAGAATTTGCACACCTGAATTTGTAACTACAATTCATACCCCCAACACATATACACACGCACACACCCAAAGCACAGCACACCAGACATACACACACAGACACCCAGAGCGCACACTCATGCTGACAGATATCACACACATACCCTAAGAAACACAGCCTAGCAGCTCATGAGCACAGAAGCAACACGCCCTAGAGAAACAACCTGGAGATGTACACACAAAACCCAAACACAACCCAAGGCCACACCCAGAGGTGTTCCTCAGATGTATAAGCACACACCCACACCTGGGACAGGGGCCTTGGGGGCGCTAGGTGTCGGCACCATCAGGCCCCGGCAGGCAGCACTGCAGTGGCGGCGGAGAGCATCCCAGGGTCCCTTCCCTTCTGACAAGGCCTCACACCCTGCTTGTGCCTGCCTGGTCCCCTGTCCAAGGCTGGGGCCTAATGAGCAACAGCCCCAGCTCCCAGGCCCTGCCCTCTGCCTTCGGAGGCCATATTGGGGTGGGGATGGGAAGTGGAAAGTAGGCACTGGCTCCCATCTGGGAGTGGGCAGCTGAGGGGGTGGCATTTGACAGGAGCTGGGGACCCAAGAGATGACATCCAGCTCTGCTGCTGCCCAAGCCTGTCAGATGTAGCAGCTCAGACAGCCCAGGGTGTGCAGGGGGGGCCTGCTGTTTGGAAGATCTCCCCTGTGCCACCAAGCAGGGGCTCCCAGCATGGGGCGGGCACAGGGTAGGTGGCAGGAAATGCCTGTTGAATGAATGTGTGAGGTGGTGGGGAGAGGCAAGGCCCGGAGACGCCTGCCAGGTGACCTCTCCGCCCTGGAATCTGTGCCCAAATCCCAGATGGCGTTTCCTCTGCACAGTTTATTCCAGGACCCTGGGTTGGGCCAGACGAGGGAGGGGGAATGCTTCTTCTGTCCTGGGGCTCTGGAAGCTCCAGCACTGACTGGCCCAGAGATGGGAAGGTTGGCAAAAAACGATTGCCTTTCAGCCCCTACTCCTGACTCCCTCCGGCCTGCATCACACCCTGGATCTGCCTCCGCTAGAGGTGAGATGGCTGCTGTAGATCATGGAAAACCCTCCACCCAAGGAGAGACCCCCAGGGCTAGGGCTAGGCTTGAACTTGACTCAGTGCTAGATCTCCAGCACCCAGCCTAGGCCATTGTCCCACTGTCACCCCCAGGCATGGGGACAGGGGCTCTGGACATCCATCCAGCCTAGGCTCAGACTCTAAGTTGGGGAGCTCATCTAAGCTCTAGAGCAGGCAGTGGGGTGCAGCCTTCAGCCTCATTCCCGGCTTCCCTCTCCCAGCAGCAGGATCCTCCCCACGCCCCTGCCTGCCCCCTTTCCCTGAGGCCAGAAGGACTTGAGCAGCCCCCACTCTACCACCCCTCAGTGCGCTCTAGAGTCTGACTCCAGGAAGGGCAGGATATGGCAGTGACCTCTGACCTCTGGGTTCCTGTTATCCCCATCCAGTTGGCGCTCTTCTCCACGAGCTGAGGGTCCTGGCAGAATTGAGTTTCTGGGCTCTGGGCCCCCATTCCTGGAGCCCACTGGTCCCCCAGGCCCTAGCAACCCTCAGCTATTCCAGCCTATTCTTTTTCCTCCTGACTCTGGGCTAGATGGGCCTTCCTCCCCAAAGCAGGGTTACTGTGTCCTCGGCCCTCCCGGCACCACTGGCACGTAAGCCCAGACCACGTTCTACCTCAACCTTCCGGCTGCTGCTAATGCCCTGCTGGGCTGAGCTAGGATGTGGGCCCTGGTGGGGCTGGAGGGGATCCAAAAGCAGACTGTTTCACATACAACGCTGGCACACACACATGCAACACTGGCACACACGCAACACTGGCACACATGCAACGCTGGCACACATGCAACACTGGCACATACACACACAACGCTGGCACACACACACACAACGCTGGCACACAACGCTGGCACACACGCAACACTGGCACACACGCAACGCTGGCACACACGCAACACTGGCACACACACACGC